AATCACCCTCCTCCGTGCTTCCCAACCATTCCCGCAGTTTCTCGTCCCTCCAGTTGGCACACACTTCATGGAAGCACATGTCTCAAGCAACAGCATCCACTATCCCCCTCTGTTGAGTTTATCTGCCAACGGTCCAGTCAAGGCTCCCCAGCCCCTGAAAGTGTCAGGTCCTGGACTCTGCCAAAATGTATCTTGTCCTCATTTTAACTCTTGTTTGTCATGCAGCCTGATACATCCAACAAGCTTCTCTCCACTTCATCATAGTCCTGAGTTTTCATGGTCCTAGCACCAGAGATCTCATAATCACGCATAGTGGTATGACTTCTGTGACCCTGAATTTGGGCGACGTTGTCTCTGAGTATTAGCTCTGCCACCCCAGCTCACTATTCTAGCATCCCTCCCTTTGCCGCAAGTCTTTGCTTGTCCTTTGAACTTGGAACCTATTGCTTTTCATACTCTCAGCCCCTCTAGTATCCTCAGGCCCCTAGTGCTCAACCTAGATTACTTGAGTCACACAGATTTGGGGGCTCAGGAACCCGAGAGAGGCTGGATTTTCCCAGCACATGGCACCTACAGTGGCAATCCAGATGCCATCGAGGACTATAACCACCTAAATCTTGAGTGGGATGAGACTTTTTTTCAGCTTGACACAATAATGTGTCTGGTGACAGGAGACTTTTTTCCACACTACATGGACATCTACATGATGTGGTTTGACTGTCTTTACAAAATGACAGTGTAGTCCACCCAGAACCAGTGACCAAGAACAAGAGCAAGACATTCCAGTGCCTTCTCACAGGCCATAGAGTCATGCAGTGAGTAAGAGGGTTCCCATCAATGACAGACTGCACAGGGGATGGCGTTCCTGCAAGAATGCGTGTTCCTAGTGATGTCATCCTCATCTTATTCTGTCTGAATATAATGCACTGTGTGTTTGTGCACTGATGAAATCACCTGATGACACCTCTGTCAGCATTGCCCCATCATTAAGTGATACGCAAGTGCACTGTTTGTTTGGAGGCATGTTGCCAAACCCAGGGTGTGATCAAGAGAAGGAAAATTCAGCAGGACCATTTAAAAGGAAGAATGAACATATTCCAGAGGCACTGTAGCACCTTGTAGATGAAGAAATTGATGTGCACATGGGTCCAGTAACACCTGTGTCTCTTGCTTATATAAAGTGCTAATCACTGGGTTCCTCTCCAGGTAGGAATTCAAGAACCTATTGTGTTTCTCTGCTGTGGCCCTGCCATCATTCACATCAAACTTCCAAGGTGACATTTTTGTCTACTTCAAGTCTTGAAAAAGAAAATAAAACAGTGCAGGCTCTTATTGGACTCTCTTTTTTCTTTATGAAGTTCCAGGGATTGAATCTAGGGCTCCAAGCATGGTAAGCAAGCACTCTACCAGAGTTGTAGCTCTTTATGTTTTTACATTTTTTTCTTTTTAAAATATTGATACAGATTCATGCTAAGTTGCTCAAGCTAGCCTGAAACTCACCCTGTAGCCTAGATGTACCTTTAACTCATAATCCTCCTGTCTCTGAATCTTGAGTAGCTGGAATTTCAGGCCTGTACCACCAGGCCCAGATTTTCCCAAATAGTCTTAAAAGTGACATAGTATCATTTCTGGCCAAATTCCATTGTCCAGAACTAATCTCATAGCCTCAACTACCTATAAGGGATGCTGGGAAATGTAGTCATGGGTGTTAAAGAAGGAATAGAATCACCAGGCTTCATGACTCGTTCCCATAACCACAGTGCTTTGGATACTGAGGCAGGAGGATTAATGTCTGAGCCTGAAACAAAGAAGGAAAATGGGTTTGGAAGTTAGCAGTTTCTACTAATTCCCTGCTCTGAGTGTAGCAACTTTGTGTGGTGTAAAAATGTACATAGATGTCATTAGTAGGGGAAGACTGTCCCGTAGAAAAGCACATGGGGCCATGAACTCTTTCCACAATAGAAGCCTGCTGCTCTTGGGACAGACTGGCAAAAACACAGCCTGTATCTCCAGATGTTTCGGCATAGTTCTTATTTTTATTGTTTGTTCGCTTGTTTGCTGAGGTTACTCCCAGGTGCACATACCACTGCCGTGTTGTAACCAATAGGATACTAGACTATAGGACATACACAGGAGCTTACCTGTGTGTGCATAGCTCAGCTTGGTCCATTGCTCTCCTGAGTTTTCTATGAGACTGTGTCTCAAATAGCACATGGCCCAGGAAAGGTAAGAAACATGCCATATATACCTGGATCCCCACAGCAAAGCTAAGCCAGACAAACCAAACCTAAATGAGTAGACCCCCAGCTAAGAACCAGGGATATGAGGAAGAAACAAATGCCTTGTCTTCTCTAGATCAAGAGTTCCTAGCCTTGCAGATGCTGGGACCCTTTAATACAGTTCCTCATGTTGTGGTGACCTCCAATAATAGAATTATTTTTGTTGCTACTTTGTAACTGTAATTTTGCTACTACTATGAATCATAATGTAAATATCTGATGTGCAGGATATATGATATGTGGACCCTGTGAAAAGTCATTTGATCCCCCAAAAAGGGTTACAACCCACAGGTTGAGACCCACTGCTCTAGATAGTTTGTATGCTATTTTTATATGGCAATTGCTGACATATCATTCTCTGGGATTAAAATCCAGGCAGAGCCAGGGGATAGATCTTTATTTCCCTCTCCCCGTCTCTATCCCCTCCCCACCCCCTCCCCTTCCCTCATGTTTTCCCTCCTCAATGTCTACTTCAGATGCTCCACCAAAGTGAGCCTGAGTCCAATGTGAGAACTGAGTTAAGATAGCTCGATACATCTGATTAAGAGCCATGAGCCTGAACACCCCAACAGTCAACAGTAGCATTCTTTGAGGTGTCATTAAGAGGAAATGGATCTGTGTAGCTACCGTGCTCAGCATCACAAGACCTGGGCTCCATCCTATAGTGATATATTATTTATTTTTGTTTTGTTTTTAGTCTTTTCCTTTTTTGTTTTCATCTTTATTTTTTGTGATATATTATTTGTGATTTATTAAAGCTTGACTGAGGATTCAGAAAAGCAAAATCAACCTCAAACTAGGCAGTGGTGTTACACACCTTTAATCCCAGCGATCAAAAACTAGGAGGTGGTGGTACACACCTTTAATCCTAGAACTCAAAATTAAGAGATAGATGCATTTCTGTGAGTCCAAAGCCACCCAGATCTACACAAGATTGAATCAGTCTAAAAGAGACTAATTTTATACCCAGCAATAGAGGGCTACAGAAGACAGGAGCAATTATTGTAAAGCACTCATTCTCCAGCCACAGTGAAGACTGAGCCATTCATTCTTCAGCCACTCTGAGGAGATGCAACAGTCTGAGGCTTGCTCGTGGAGAGGGGATCACCCTGAGGTAGAGGTAAGAGTCTGAGGCCCGCTACTTTGCTTCCCTGATCTTCAGGTTGAGCCCCAATATCTGTCTCTGGGTCTTTTTTTTTTTCATTTGTGTTACACCATCTCAAGTACCCTTCCCCACTGAATAAAAAGGGAAAAGAAAAGAGAGGGGTAGTGGAGGGAGGGAGAAGGTATTTAGAGATGAAGTTTCAGTAAAGACTTTCATTTCCACCTTAAAATTGTAGACTCAACATTTCCTATTAGAGAAAGGTTTACTCAAGTTTTCTCTATTTAATTAGGCACTCATGAATCATAGATCTTTCGTATAAGTGAGTCAGCCCCTCAGGGTGAGTGGTATCTTTGCTGGCAAATATTTTACAAAGAAGGCATTTGTTTCAGAAATAAACATCTAATTTGGATAAATTTTAATAGCCACCACACTTGATTCTGATGAAAATGTTTACCAGTGGTGTTTCTGCCTGGAACCATTTGTTTCTATTATTTTGACAGAAACGGAATTTGGTTGGTAGCTGTTTGGGATTTGAAATAGTTCTGTAAGCATTTTAGCTAGATGCCCAGGCAGGCGGCCACAATCGTTCTACTTCAAATAAATGGAAAGCACCGTTTTGCTATTCATTACTTCAGTGAGAAGAGTTTAACCAGGGAAAGGATTTGCAAACTACCGAATCACAAAGACCCAAAGCAAAGGGAAGCAAAAGAGTGCTCTGTAAATATTTCTACAAAAGTTTCGGCAATCTTTTCATTCTCAAAACACTTGTCTGTACAGTCAAAGAAATGAAAAAGCCAAAAGAAAAAAAATGGGATTTTTTTTCAGTGATAGCTTGGAATAACAAATACTATTAAACCATCTTGTGTGCTTCCTGAGTTACACATCCGTGGAGAACTGAAGTAGTTTTCCTGCAAACATATTAAGAAACACAGAAGTGACTTTTGCAATTATGTTATTTTTCAAATCATCAAAATTGAAAATAAGAGCAAACAACTTCTGAAGAAGCCTGGGGGTCAATCAACTAAATAAACTAAAGTCATTTAGCCAACTAGAATTGATTGGAGTGGAGCAAGACAGAATTGACTTCCCTCCAACTCCACCCACTCCACAAACTAATTAAAAAATGCATCAGCTGCATCTTCAATCAGCTGAGGAAGATAAGTGGGCTTCAAAGTAATCAGCTACACAACTGTCAAGAATAGCAAGAGAACCTCAGAGACATTCAGGAAGCTGGCTGAGAGTGACGGGTGTCAATCAGAGAGGAGTAGCCCAGAGCTTATCACTTGGGGGCACCTTCTTAGACAAGGGGGCTTAAAAGAAAGGGAACCACACACGATGGCACACACACAAACATACACACATGTTGACATGCAGCATCTCACTCAATGTCAGGCCTCCCAAAAGACTCATGTGATACAAGAGTACTAACAATGCCAGGACCGGAAGGGCTTGAAAGGATCACTGGGCCAATCTTTAAAATGTCTAGAAATTCGTAAGCTCCTATAGGCCTTAAACGGAGTAAGGAATGTCTTAGTTATTGTTCTATCTCTGTGAAGAGACAGCATGACCAAAGCAGCTCTTAATAAAAGCAAGTATTTAATTGGGGATTCACTTACAGTTTTGGAGGACTGGTGAGTCCACGATCGATCATCATGGTAGGAAGCAGATGGACAAGACACTGTTGCAGTAGTTGAGAGCTTTACACCCCTATCCTCAAGCAGCAGGCAGAGAGAAATGCTGGGCCTGGCATGTGTCACCCTCAGTGACGCATCTCCTCCAATAAAGTCACTCTTCCCAAACCTTCTCAACAGTTCTACTAACGGGGCGGGGGGGGGGGGTGACCACGACACACCAGGCATTCAGACATAGGAGCCTGTGGGAGACATTTTCATTCAAACCACCACAGGGGATTACTGGACTCCTTGACAAGGAACCTGGTCTGCAGATCAGCGAATGATTGGCGGTGATCTCCCATCCACTACCCAAAGGACCACAGTATATTTGTTCTATGGTGAGTGATGGGGTTGCCTTTCTGCACATATGTTTCTCTTATTGGTTAATGAATAAAGCACTGTTTGGCTAGTGGCCAGGCAGGAAGGATAGGTGGGGCTACCAGATGAAGAGAATTCTGGGAAGTGTAGGCAGAAAGGAGTCGCGTTGTGAGCCCAGAAAGAGAGGATGCATGAGGCAATTCTCTGGTAAGCCAAATCCATATAGAAATGCATAGGTTAGTAATTATGGGTTAATAATTAAGACAGAGCTAGCCAATGAGAAGTCCAAGCTGCCAGCCAACAGTTTCATAATTAACATAAGTCTTTGTGTGTTTATTTGGGGCTGACACAGCTGTGGGACCAGGCTGGCAGGAAAGAGTGCTCCTTACAGAAGAGGGTAATGGATAAATCACTGGGTTCTTACACTAACGCTAGAAGCACTTCCTTTCTGTGTGTGTTTGAATACCACAAATACTGGGAGATATAAATTATTTTTCTGTTTTTATTGTAAGTTGTGGGGTAGGAGAGAGCATGCAAGCCACAGTGTTCACGGCTACCAGAGGGCAGCTCTGGGAAGTCTCTGAGGCAGAGTATCTCTTGTTTCTCTGTGATAATGTGTGTCACTCTGAGCTAACTGACCTTCAAGTTTCTGAACAATTCTCCTGCTTCCTTTTGCCGTATTCCCTACGGGTGCTGGTGTTACAGATGAATGGCACATCTTCCAGACTTCATAGCTTAATTAATTAGTTGATTGTGAGTGTGCACATGTCAGGGCACAGGAGTGGAGGTCAGAGGACAACTTCCAGGGCTCAATGGTCTCATTTCACCATCTTGGTTCTAGATATTGAACTCATGTTGAGTTCCACACTGAGCCATCTTCCTGGCCCTGGAAATGTAATTTTTTTCTTCTTTTATTTTTTTTCACATTTTAAGTTTTTAAATTAAAATGTAATCTACCCTACCCGCAATCCCTCACCCCTTCTCTCTCAGATTTATGGTCTCTGGCTTTCCTTTCTTTCAATTATGTGTTCAGTCTATACAATGTTACTTGTATGCATACGATTTTAGGGCTGACCACTGGGGGCTTCATCCACGAGGAAGAGCATTTTCCCATTCTTGGTACACTTGGTTGTCTAGAGTTCTTTGTCTAGGGTTGGGGTCCTGTGAGATTTCCCCTAAGAAATGTAATTTTTAAATGAACAGTATCTGTACTTCTCTACAATCCTCTGTCAGTACTCTATTCTGTTGACAGTAACTGATTGACAAGGAAATCTGCAAACAGAAATTTCCTTTAATTCTTGAAGGAGAAAAGAAGGAAGAGGAAGGAGTGTGTGTTGTGGGGGGAGACAGAGAGATGCAGGAAGGGAGACTGCCCACAGGTACTGTGGCTTAAGTTTTCATGTTGACCTTATTCCTTTCCTATACTAATTGCTTCCCCCTCCCCCCTCTCCCCCCCTCCCCTTCCTCTCCTCTCCCTCCTTCCTCTTTCACATTTGCTCACGTTCTTACTTGCTCACCTTTTCCCTCTCTTAAGTCTATTCAGGATTATAGTTACTATAAACATGTTAAAACTTCTTTAAACCTAAAAAAACAAAACCTATAATTTTCCATGAAATACCTTAACTCAGCAACTGTGGCTGGGGAGCAGAGAGTGCAACTGGCCAGGGGGCGGCTGAGGATGCTTGTAGGACAGTGGCCATTTACCAACTGCCATGGAAAAATTAAAACACTATGGCCACTGCCCCAGCAGCTCCAACATCATCTGCTGTTCCTCTTCTGTGTCCTTGTCTACACGCTCTTGTATTTAGGAACTCAGACCTGGAAATTTATAGAACACATAGAATTTCAGAGTCTAAAGGTGATTCAGGGCTGAGGAGGTGGCTTAGTGGATGAAGAGTTTGTCATGAAGTATGAGAACATGAGTTTGAATCCCCAGAACACACACAGAGCCAGGCATGTGCAACGTGCCTGTAATCACCAGACTCCTAAGGTGAGACAGGGAGCAGACAGGAGAACCCCAGAAGTTCAGCCAGCTGGCCTAGCATATATGCAGTAGAGCACAACAATCGGACTGCCTAGAACAAAGAGAAAAATGAGAACAGGCTCCTGAACTTGTCCTCTGACCTATAAACACATATTCTATCATGTCCATACAACCCTCACACATGAGAACACACACACACACACACACACACACACACACACACACACACACACACGGCAAAGAGAGAGGGGGGAGAAGAAGAAAGAAAGAAGGAGCTATAGATTGTGAAGGCCAAGTCTTGCTGTCAGAATACAAATCACATGACAGCCTCTTGCTCACCTGTTAGCTGAGTTCATTCTGACTTCTAAACTGTAGGTTTCTTTGTTTTTGTTTTGTTTTCCCAAGGATAATCAAGCAAAGTACCTTTTACACTAAGTAGATTTTTCTATCACTCTGGTCCACTACAATTAGGGGGAGAATCAGTTTCGAGACATCAACCAGGGAATTAAAAATCCTAAAATGAGCCGGGTGGGCCTTTAATCCCAGCACTCAGGAGGCAGAGGCAGGTGGATCTCTGTGAGTTTAAAGCCAGCTTGGTCTACAGAGAGAGTTCCAGGACAGCCTCCAAAGCTACACAGGGAAACCCTGTCTCAAAAAAAAATCCTAAGATGTGAAATGTTGGCTCTCACAAAAACACATATCTCTCCTCCATCCAGGTATTTGGACAGATAGCAATAATGACAATGTATATGGAACTGTCTGCTCAAATACACATCCCAGATCTACTTTGTGGAAAAGCTTTAGGAAACAAAGGAGAAGCCCCATTCTTCTTCAGGTCTGCATTTGCTCAGAGGAGTCCTGGTAGGAAACTCCATCATGTTGGGAGCTGACAAATCCCACATAGGTCTCAATAACATCATTTCACAAGCAGTTAAAACTTGGGCCAGAGATTAACCCATCCAATTCCCATTTTGTACAGTGGGGAAATAGAACTGATAATACTATCAAGTGGCTGCTGAGAATTGAGTAATTGTCCTTTGACCTCAAAACATATGTTGTGTTATGTCCATACACTCCTATCTCACACATGAACACCACACACAGAGACTCACACACATAGACACACACATACACACAAACACACGTACACATGAATGTACATAATACTAGGATACCCAGATTTGGAAAGCTAAGGAGACTCCTTAGGATTTGGTAGTGGTCTCCAGAGTCATGGTCAGGGACAAGAAGTGGGCCTCTGTCACCAAACTGAGTCATATGGTTCAGGCCATGAAGATTAAGTACCTGTCTGGGCATAGTGGTGCACGCCTTTAATTCCAGCACTCTGAAAAACAGAGGCAGACAGATCTCTGTGAGTTCAAGGCCAGAATTGTCTACATAGAGAATTCCAGGACAGACAGGACTACAGAGAGACCTTGCAAAATAATAAATAAATAAATTAATTATTAATAGCAAGTCCCTAGAGGATATCCACCTGTGTTCTTCCTATCCATCAAAGAATGTGATGTTTTCCTGGGAACATCCCTTATGGGAGAGATTTTAAAGATCATGATAGTTCATAATAGAATTGGGTAGCTAACCAAACAACCTGAAGGCATTTGTCACCATTGGAGACAATGGTCATGCTGGTCTTCATGTGTACCAGTTAGGTTTTTGCCAACTAGACCCAAGCTAGAATCATGAATCATCTGTAAAGAAGGGACCTTAATTGAGAAGATGCCTTCATCCAATTAACCTGTGGGCAAATGTAGGGGGCATTTCCAATTTCTGGAAGGACCCAGCCCACTATGGGTGGGGCCACCCATGGGCAGGTGATCCTAGGTAGTGTAAAAAAGAGAGAAAAAGAAGGAAGGCAAAAGGGAAGAAACAAACAGACTGATACAGCCACAAGAGGCAACCCAGTATTCCTCTATAGTCACTACTTTAGCTCCTGCCTCTAAGTTCCTGCTTTAGAATGTCTTGAAGATGGGCTACACAAAAACAAACCCTTGCCTTCCTCCAAGTTGCTTTTGGCTAGTATTTTGTAGAACAGGTTGTTAAACACTATTAGGAGGTAGCCACTGCCACCTGAGGGGCCATCAAATTGGTCAAGCTGCCATCATCCCTGTGCAAAGTGACTAAGGGGGAAACAGGTAAGACAACACATTACTATCATTTTGTGCTGTTTCACCTCATCTCTGACCCCAGAGGCATTGGCATTGTCTTCTCCTCTGTCCAAGAAGCCACTGCTACTGCTGGCCAGTACTGATGACTGTACACATCAGTCAGGGGTTGCACTGACACCCTGGGTAACTTTGCTAAGGCCACCTTTGATGTCATCTCTAATCTTGCATGTACCTGTGGATGACCCTCAACCTCTGGAATGAGTCTGTGTTCATCAAGTCTTCCCATCAGGAATGCATGGACCACCTTGGGAAAACCCAGACCAGAGTCAGGGCACTTTCTGCCAAGTCTGATGATCTGAGTTCAATTCCCAGGACCCACAGAGTGAAAGGAGAGAATGGATTTCTACAAGTTATCTTCTGACTTCCCTGTGGACCATGGCATAAACTCGCGCATGCACAAAATAAATAGATAGACAGACAGACAGACAGATAGATGATAGATGCAAAAACTACTTAAATAATTTTCATTTAAAAAGAAATAAAGCTCACACCAGCATCTGCAAGCAGAGGATACAGCCCCAGGTGTGGCTACCACATAGGGTTTCTATGTGAGGAAAAACAAAGCGAATTAAGTGTGTAAAAAAATGAACCAACAAGTGTATATGCAGTCAATGAGTCAGCTTCTGCTTTGCTTACAAAATGATGTCACATTTTCTTTTCATGACTCAACTATCTCTAACCAACTGCTGCCAACCAGTTCCATCACCAAGTTTCCAAGTTTCCCAGACTCCCAGGTGGTCCAAAGCAAATCTGTCTTGTCTTTCCTGAACTAGGGATAAATGCCCACCATAGCTGCTTATCCAGGTAGCTATATTTCATGTCAAGGTCCCACTGAAACTGCAGCTTTCTGCTCAATTCA